TTCGACCCCGACTATATAAGGAACACTTGGGCACGTTTTTGAGGAGTCTTGGACATAATTTTCAGATCTTTGAAGACCTTTAGGGGCTAGAAACACGAGCAAGACGTGGGAGAAAGCCAAACGAAGAAGGGATCGACGGAGCCGAATAAGCTTTGTCTTTCTTTTTCTTTTCCTCTTTCGAACTCAGTGTTCTATATTTATTTTGAAACCATGTTTCTAGGCTAATTTCATTAGATTATAGGATTTGTTAGTACTCGGATTGATTTATGATTTTGTTTTTATTTATTTCATTCAGGTTTATCTTTCGTTTATAGATTTCTTTTGCGTATTTTTATTGTATGAGTAGATGGCCACTATGATTGCATATTTGTGATCGATTTGAGATTGAGAGAGATAATTGATTGCTAAAATTCAGCGATCTATAAAGTTAGAGAATAAACAGACGGAGAGGTTGATAGGACCTTGCGAGAGAACGAAAATCCTAGGAACTTATGGGAGTTATTTGTTCATCTTGAGACCGGGAGGAGATAGATTAATATCTATGATTTACTTGTTCGAGAGAAAGGTTTGAAATCAATGTGGCGATTATCTCTAAGATTAGTAAAATTAAATAAGGTTTTGTTTGAATATAAATGTTTCATGAATTAATTCTGAAGAACGCATAGCCTAGAATCTATCTTTTGTATCTTGTTCTATTTTTTATTATTTTAGATATATTAGCGTAGTTAATTTTCTTAGTTTATAATCATCATCCCAGTTCGTTAGTTTAGATTATATTTAATCGTCATTATTTTAGTACTTAATTAATTTAACTACAATCTTTGTGGAATACAACCTTGCTCGCCACTACCTATAGCTACGCCGTACACTTGCGGACGTTGTGTTCCAAGAAAATTTGACAATAGAATACATGGAAAAGCCCAAGATGTCTCAAAAGTCAAATGTGGATGCTCAAGTTTCAGATGAAGCACCAGAATTGTTCTGGAGAAACAATGAAGATGATGTACCAGAAGAAGAGGGGGAGGCAGAAGAGAATCCAGAGCAAGGAGAGCAACAATCCATCTTGCCAGAGCAAAGGGAGAAACCCATTTTGCAAGACACTAATGTTGGAAGTTCTTCTCAGATGATTCTACCCACTCGTAGATCTGAACGAGGTCATATACCATAAAAAAGGTACTCATCATAGAATACCTTCTATTGATAGAAGATGGAGAACTAGAGTATTTTTTCAAGAAGCCATATCTCATAAGGATAAAGAAAAATGGATGTTGCGATGCAGGAAGAGTTAGATTCTCTGCAGAAAATTAAACTTATGAGATTTTTAAACTTCCAGAAGGGAAAAAAAGGGCTTTGAAAAACAAATAGATGTTCAAGCTGAAGAAAGTGCAAATGGATAAGTGGTGAAACACAAAGCTCGATTGGTTGTCAAAGGCTTTCAACAGACTAAAGTGATTGATTTTGATGAGAGCTTTGCACCAATTGTCAAGATGACCTCAATTCGAGTCATACTTGGCTTGGCAGCAAGTATGAATTTGGAGCTTGAACAGATGGATGTGCAGACAGCTTTTCTTCACGGAGATTTGAAAGAAGAAATCTATATGCAATAGCCAGAAGGTTTTGAGGTTTTAAGTGAGAACCTTGTGTGCAAGCTATCTAAAAGCTTGTATGGTCTAAAGCAAGCACCAAGGCAGTGGAATAAGAAGTTTGACTCATGTATGCAGAGTCAAGGTTACAAGAAGACTACTGCAGATGAGTGTGTTTACATCAAGAAATACTCAAACGGGGATTTTATAGTTCTTCTACTGTACGTTGACGACATGTTGATTGTTGGGAATGATGCAGAGAAGATAAATCAGCTGAAGAAAGAACTTTCCAAGTCTTTTGATATGAAAGATTTAGGAAAGGCTCAACAGATTTTGGGGATGCAGATTACTTGAGACCGAGAGAACGGCAAGTTATGGCTATCTCAAGAGAAGTACATTGAACGAGTACTTGAAAGATTCAATATGAGTGATGACAAACCAGTGGGTATTCCACTTGCGAATCATTTCAAGTTGAGAAAAATATCATGTCCCACATCCAAGGAAGAGATGAGGGAGATATTTGTAGTACCGTACTCTTCACCAATTGGAAGCCAGATGTATGCAATGGTATGTACAAGGCCAGATATTGCTCATGCAGTGTGTGTAGTGAGTCATTTTCTTTTTAACCCCAGGAAGGAGCATTGGGAGGCAGTCAAATGGATTCTCAGATACTTGAAGGGTACTTCTAAGTTATGTCTTTGTTACAGGGGAGTTGATCCAATCTTGGAAGGATATTCTGATGCTCATATGACCGGAGATATTGATTGTCGAATGTCTACTTCGAGTTATGTCTACACTTTGGCAGGACGAGCCATTTCTTGGTAATCAAGATTGCAAAAGTGTGTTGCTTTATCCACAACAGAAGCTGAATATATTGCTGCCGCTGAAGCTGGTAAAGAAATGTTGTGGCTAAAACGACTTAAGCAAGAAATCTATGTACCATCCCCGCCCAAAGCATATTGATGTTCGGTATCACTGGATACGCGAGAAGATTGATCAACAGTTGTGGAAACTAGTGAAGATCAATACGAAGGAGAATCCATCAGATATGTTAACAAAATTAATTACACTGGATAAGCTTAAGCTATGCAGAGACATAGTAGGAACAAGGGCGAAACCATTCACAAATCCGGAGTGGCGCCGGCCCCTCCAAAAAAAATAAAAATTTAAACTAGGGGTGGAGGATTTTACTGGAACTGGAAGATTTTTCTTTGAGCGCGCATGTTGGGCCCTCCCCGGTTTCATGCGGTACATACATGGCCGGAGGGGCGCCACTGGTTTTGTCGTGAAAATTTTTTTAAAAGGCAAATTGGACCCTTCCCGAAATGGGATCCTGGTTTCGGGACAAGGAGAACTATAACAGCAGCATAATTTAATAAATTTTTTCATTTTTATTATATTTTGAGTTGGTTAATTAGCCGACTTGCGGTGTACCGACGGGACTCAAAAACCGAGTCGATCATTACCGAAAAATACTTTTATGAAAGTACGGGAAGCGGAGAGTCCGCTGGTGGCATCGATTTTATGATTTTGAGGTCCCGACCATTTATTTTGGGTAGCCCGAAGTTGAGAGAAAAATGGCAGCGGCGATGATTTTATTGTCATTTTGATGTCTAGACTTCGGGTAACCGTCGGCCCTCGTTAGGCGTGCTGAAAATTAGCGGGAGTGCTTTCTTGAAAGCACGAGAACAGTAGAAGCTGTTCGTAAAATTTATTTCACGGTTCGAAGTTTCGAGCATTTATTTTGAGAAGCTCGAAGTCGAGTGCGCATAATAGAAGAATAAAAAGCCGTTTTGCGGGGTTCCGTAAGGTTGCGTGTGACCTCGGTTTAACGAGAATCGAGTTGGAGCGTGTAGACAATTCAAGCACAATTCCATACGGACAAATTTTGCATTTTTTGGAGTTCCGAGCATTTATTATGTGAGTTTGAATTCTTGCGTATCAAAAGGAGCAAATTTGTCGAGGACGAGTTCGATCGTTCGAGCTTCGTTTTCTCAATTTTTTCAGCTTTTCGTCTATTCGAAAGGAAGTATAATTCTTGATTATTATTATAATTGAGTCCGAGATTTTTATTAGTATAAATTCGAGTATTTTTCGAGTTAAAACAATTCAGTTTAAGTATACCAGTTTAATTCCGGACTTAGTTTGATTTTTAGAAAAAACTCTAGAGTATTCTTTTATATCCTGCGAAAATTTTTGAGAGCGTCCACAAAAGCCCTTTGAGCGCCCTTCCGATGCCGGAGTGGGGGTGGTGCGCCGCAGCAAATTGGGCCCTCCCCGGGATGACCGACTGGTTTCACCACTGAGTAGGAATGCTTGTTCAGAACTTGCATGGAAAGGGAGAATTGAAAGTTCCCATGCAAGTTGCAGCACACAAATGAAGAAGTCTTCAATGGCTGCCTCCACCAACCTTCTCCTTTCACACACTATTTGTCAACAATGGTGTGCTTGCTTGTATCTATAAATAGGCTACTTATTATATTCATTTGAATCATCCTAGAGTGTGATCAATCAACCTTGAGAGTGTTGAAATACAACCAAGTAGAGTTGTGAAGAGTTTGAGAGTTTTTTTTAGAGTTTGTAAATCTATTGTTTTTATTCTTGTGACCAATAGAATTTTTAGAGTGCAAGACGAGAGGGAGATCTGACACACGAGTTTGCCAACACCCAACCGAGGTGAACGAATACAACAGAAGGCTTGAGATTGAGGGCTGATCGGATGCGCGACACACGAGATGGGACAAGCCAAGACATAGGAGTTCAAGTGTCAAAACCATTCGTCTGGTCCCGTATGCCTTGTAAGTCGTCTCAGAGTCGCCTTAATCAAAACAATAAGATCGTGATCTTAAATTTCAAATCCGATGCGCTTTTAGGATTCGATTACAGAATAATAAACAACATTCGTAGAAGAACCCAACAAAAAATCTTGCATATTGCATATTGCTCAAGAGATAATGGAAATTTATGTCCTCAAGCTCTGATGCAGAGAAGACTACGAAGATTTTAGCTCACATTGTGTCATATGTTGATGAAGTAAAATTCTTTTTAATTGAAATGAGATAACTTGGTGCGTCTGATATTGATTTTTGCTTCTAAATTATTCTTTTCTTTTTTTTTTTTCTTGTTTATGTATCAACATCACTTTGATGTAAGCTTTCATAACTTGAGTGAGTCATAACTTTTCTTTTTACACCACAAACAATTGTTTACGCATTATTCTTTTACAGTACGTGACCCAATTTTTTTAACAATAAATCTAATGCTCTCATATTTATTAATTATAAAAATAATAAAATCTAAATTGAGGTTGGTTGTTCACGCACAGTCGTAAACCATACCGAAAGTTAATATATAAAGGGGTCGTTTACTTTGGGGGACAGGATAACACAAAATTGTCCCAATACCTTTACACGTCAGCATTCCTATCCCTCGTTTACTTGTATGACATATTTTGTGTGCAAATAATCTATTGTTTACTTTGAGGGATTAAGTTATATGGTACTCTTGCAATGACATCTTTACCCCTGCCTGTAGTCACTTATCGATTTTAAGATCTGATTTCCCCATTCATTTTTTTGAACCCTAAATTGCAGAAATCGCGAATTGCCGACAACTCAAGGCGGTCTGGACGACGAATTTCGACAACAAATCTGTTACACGGCTGCGGGTTGTGAGGTAAATCTCGTTTCTTATGTATTAATCGATCTTTCAGTTGTGATTTTTGCCTCTTCCCAACATTACCCTAATTTTGTGAATCTGTTTCCACATAACGCGATTACGGTTGTCATTCTACTCAATATCGACGGGCGTGAAAAGGGATCCGCCGTGTACTCCATCGACCACCAGCAACAACGGTATGTAAATCGTGATCTGAAGCACCGTATGTGCACTCCAATTTTTTTTTTTTAATCAGACTTGGAGTTGTTAATGAAGCGTTATTTCGGCCTGATTCAACAAGAAAAGCGGATTGTTTCTGTGTAGTGATTGTTGCCTTGCTTGTTTATGTCACTATGTAGAAGATTCTGTTACATTCTATTTTTTCAGCTAAGAATCAGTTTATAAGCATGCTTGCAGTTAAAGAGAGCTTTTGATGCATTGTTAAGTGCTGAGCTTGTTA